CCCCAAAAATCATCTATAAAAACGATTTAAAATCTATGAATTTAGCAAAAATAATCAGGAAATTAAAACAATCCAGCCGGCTTTGAATGTGAAAAAACGAATGATGTATCTATGTATGTATGTATGTATGTATGTATGTATGTATGAATGTATGTATGTATGTGTGTATGTATGTATGTATGTATGTATGAATGTATGTATGTATGTGTGTATGTATGTGTGTATGTATGTATGTATGTATGTATGAATGTATGTATGTATGTGTGTATGTATGTATGTATGTATGTATGTATGTATGAATGTATGTATGTATGTGTGTGTGTGTGTATGTATGTATGTATGTATGAATGTATGTATGTATGTGTGTGTGTGTATGTATGTATGTATGTATGTATGTATGCATGTATGTATGTAAAAATCATAATCAAATAATTTGTATTCAGTCAAACAAAACGAAAAGTATGAATGATTCGGAGACCAAAAGAAGAAAATTTGTAAATCCAAATGTTTGGATCCCTAATTTTATTTAAGTCGTTCTTCTCTTTCTTGTTCATGAAATCAAAATTTATTTTAATTCAATTTTAATTTTCCATCTTTGGAACTTTTTCCAAGCAACTACTTACGTAAATTGAACATTTACCTAATAGATTATTATTTCCCTCATTATACATTACGTTATATTATACATTCGACTACTTTGCCTTTTTTAGACGAACCACATGTTAAAAATTTTTCGGGCTTATCAATTTTCAATAGTTCAATATCAGTTTTTAAAAGTTTCATAGAAAAAGCAATATCCTCACTTATAAAGAAATCGCATGTATTAGAAACAAAATGTTCGTCTTCTAGTGAATTCAAATTATTTGATAAAAAAAACAAAGCAAATAATTTATAACAAAAGATTTCGCAATGTATCTATTATCATTCATTGAATAATAAACCTATATGTATATGTATCTGAGTTAATTAACTCGTATATATGTATGTTTGTATGTTTGTATGTTTGTATGCCTGTTTTTAAACCGGATATAAAACTTGCTTGAGTTCGCTGGAGTGTTAATGTCAAATGAAAAGTTAAGGACAACAAAATGAATTGATGAACAAATGAATGAATTAACGAGTGAATGTATGAATGAATGAATGACTGAATGAATGAATGACTAAATGAATGAATGATTGAACGGTTGATAGAATGATAAATTTTGACTTTTCAAATGTAAAAAATAAAGGCTTAGTGATTGATTGAAGGAACGAATGGATTAATAAGAAAAAAAAAAAATTTTTGGAGTATTAAATTTTCCGCATTCACGTAAACCAGTCGCTATCCGTACTGAAACATAAAAATGATACAATACAAACATACATACATACAAACAAACATCAT